CATTACCCATTCAAGCCGTCTCCAGCCATTATTGTCTCAAAGTGGGTTCCTCGTCATCGAAAATAGCAATGTTCTTGTTTTGTTTTTTTATATTCCTCTGTTGTCATACATTCAATGCTCACCTGTTATCTCATGAGATCACTTTCATAAAAAATGTTAAATTATAAACATTGAAACTTCTGTGACTGAACTAACAATATATCGTTAACTGATTCATTAGTATTACACCTCTAACCAACTACCATGTTTCATATTAAGATGCACCAACAGCCTATCAAATTCAACTAACTTATTAAGATCTTTTAATTATCAATTTATCTGTCATTAATCAACACAACTATTAAGTACTTTATCATCAGTCTCTCAAATAATTTGTAAAACTATGCAGGATCTTTATTAAAATGCCAAATAACACCCGATGACAACAACATCATGCCACACATTTTAAACTATTATTTTCAAAATCAATAATATTTTCTCGAGATGAAAATACAATATTACCTTCTAAAACCTCATACTTGAGTTCAGTGTCACAGATGACCAATTTTTTGTCATCACCTTCTCCAGTCAAAACCTTCTCTACAGCAAACGTGGCAACTCCTTCTTCTGCGAATCTTACAAATGCCTAGTATTACAACAATTTGCAACAGATAAGTATAAACAAATTGTGACAGGATGTTTCGCAATCATACTTAATTTGTAAAACTAAACTGACAAAGCATGTACATATGAACAAAATTTCAGTTTTACAAGAACAGTGTTAAAGAGTATCATTAAGATAGTTTAATATACACAATTACAGTCATAAAAGTATAGCAACAAAATACATGTTTTATAAGATGAGAATTTGTCGACAAAAGTTGAATGTATATAGTTCGTTAACAAACCATCTTTCAAGATACTGATACAATATTTCAGGGTTGTTTCATTTTCATCCATGTATATGTATACACTGACAAAAAAAAATTACCTTACTGTTATGGCAAACTTGTGACAAACATATTTTATAGAATACAATAACACAAGATAAACATGTTACATTTTGAGGTGTAATTACAAGTTAATTCACATATTTTAACATATAAAATTCAAAAACTATCCAGCAAAGAGATATAACACTTGATAGGTGAACTACTGAGACAGTAAAAAAGGTGATTCCAGTGTCTAGAAGCAATTATTACCACATGGAATGTATAAAAAAAAACAGTTTTAACCAATCTAGGACTCATTCTGCTTTTAGAAATGGCTTCTAACAGATTATTTGTCAATGCGTTGCTTTGTGAAATAGTAAGCTTACAATATTAAAATACTATTGACAAGAAAGCAGCAAATGAAAAGCACTACGCAGTAATGAGGCTTATTGAGATCAGATTAACATTTGTCTTAAGAAGACTGGTGACTGATGCAACTTGTAATGGTCACCCTAAAACACCTGTTAGCCCCATGTGCATGTCAAACTATGTCATGACTTCTTACAAAGTTATAGTAAAATTCATAACAATTGGGGAGTGGAGCACCAGTTATCAAGTACAATGAACACCAACAACCAACAGTCTGCAAGATCATGTATAAAACATTTTAAGGTTGTACTATTACAGATTACATATCACCAATAACTGCTACCAAGAAATGCACATGAATGGCTAGACCTTGCATACCAATTTCTGACATGAGTCAGATTAAACAGCACCTTGCCAGACATCTTAGGCACACGTTTTTTGCTTGACATGACCTTCCATCTATAATTTGTATATAAAGGGTTAAGCAGGTCAGCATTCACAACCATATCATCTGAGAGAAAAGCAATTCATGTGTTTCTATACAATGACCACTGCCTGATAAGGTTATTACGGTGTGGGTTGGATTCACTAGCAAATTTTCTTTGGGCCACATTTCTCTGAGTAACCCATAAATAATGGAGTTACAGTGGATGCTACCAATTCATCCCTTAACATCTTCAAGCATGATGATGATGCATCACCCACATTACAAAGACTGTCATTACATTGCAAGCACATGCCTTTAAATATAAAAAGCAAAACTTTCTACACACATGGTCATCATGTACTCTCCAGATCTTACCCTAAACCTGCTGATGTTTGATTATGGAGGCCACCAAAAGTATATTGTAAGACTTGAAAGATAACATAAGATGCTACATTATTATTCAAAGAAGTACTATGCAGATATAAATATTATACAAAGTTACTCAAGATATCTATATTAGCCATACATAATTTATGTCATAGACTAGGTAGAAGACAGCTACTCTACACCACCAACTTGTGAGCTATTCTAATTTAATAGTGAAATTCACAGCCTAAGTGTGGAGTTTTTTTTTCAGTAATATGGCACAAACCATGGAACCTTAGATTCACAGTCTAGCAAGCTAACCATTGGGCCGCACGAAGTAATGCAAGAAATAGCTATGACACATCAACATTTTCAGCATGTCCACTGTATAAATTTCATAATCGATATCTCTCCTGATGACAATTACTTCTGTCACTGATAGTTGTCTATCCAAGCAACTCATTAGTTCATGTACCAAATATTATATATCTCTAATGGGTGGCTTTTGAATTATTGACATTAAAATTATTATAACCCTTTTATTTCATTACTTTTGTGTAGATAACAGAGAAAACTCACCTCAGGATCCTCAATATTATACTCAACATAGGCTACTGTGGCATGTGGGTTAAAGACTTCTTTGATGTCCATGCGAGAAATATTTTTAGCTAACCCACTTAACTTGATAACACAGCCTTTAACTATTTCTTCCTCATCAAATTCCTAAGTAACAATGTAAAAAAGCCATTATTGATATTAGAATATTACCCTCTTATAACATAACCCTACAAATATGGCAGTATAAAACTAGATACCGTAACTTCCTGAATAAAATACACACATTTTTTCACTAAACATTTATCTAGAAGTTAGGGTGCACATGATGTATGGTCAAAAATCTAAGTTTTTTTTTTATAGTCAATCCAGACCATCTTTTTCAACATACATTGTAAACAATAATGTATACTTTACTATAAATGTTGCATTTTGTATGTCTTATTATTTCTCTATATTTCTAAGGCTTAAATGAGAATTGTCTATTATTTACACTCATTTTCAGTTCCTTTAAACACGATTTTTTGAAATGCAGTGATCAAGAAATTAATTGTTGTGATTTTTAAGATTAATTTCATGTCCACTTAGAAATGTTGGAAATACAAAACTAGTTATCATTACATTACTTTTAATATCCAAAACAACAAATTATTTTCAGTTAAATCATCAAATTTGAAGTGCAAATCACTTCCCTTGAATAGTTGGTGCAACTTCTCTACATTGTAAGGGCTAAGGCGAACTCGCTTTTAGCAATTTTTTTGACAATGTTTATTTGCCAGCTGCAGTTGGAAAGGTAACAAGCACTATGGTAAACACGCACTTAGAGAGTATATGGACACTAACATTCTTGTCATCAAAGGATTACTTTGACCACAGTAAGGTAAAAGCGTAGGTGTATTTTATTTATGGCAATAAGGCACATTTGACTACTTGTTTAGATTAGAGTGCATTGTGAACTCTATGAACTTTGACCACTGTATGGCAAAAGCATAGGTGTATTTTATTTATGGCAATAAGGCACATTTGACTACTTGTTTAGATTAGAGTGCACATTATATTTGAAAAATTATGGTAAATATATTCAACGAATAATAAGCATTACAAATATAAAAGTAAAAAGTAGGTGCTTTATGTATTACAATTACAATCTAAAAAAGATATATGCTACTATTAATATTGAAAAAAATTGTCAAAATATGTTTCAATACATATGAAACTAGAAACCTGATCATTATCATTATCATCATCTTCTTCCTCTCTTGCTTGATTTTCCTTTAACTTCTCCTTTTCTTCCTTTTTTCTATCCATTTTCAGGAAAACAAAATATAATTTGTGCATTAATATCTTAAATGCTACAAGAAAAGATGAGCTCATGGTTCATACTGAATTGCTCAGATCAATTTCAAGCACTTTTCAGAGACTTTCTAAGCACTTTTCAGAATGTTTTCAAGCACTTTTTGGAAGCTAAAATCTACAAAATTAATCAGATTCCATTATAATCTTATAATATGCCTATTTATTTTGTTCAACATATGAATGTAGACTAAAAAGAAAAGAAAGACTATTTCTTGCACTCAACTCCATAACATGCATTAAAGTTAGATATATTGATATATTCTGCTATTATTCTGGAAGCACTTTCAAGGCCTTGAAATTATACTCTCAATTTCAAGCACTTTCAAGGATGCATACACACTTTGATAAGCAAACATTTCAAAAAGCATAATCATCTATTGTTTATATAATAAATTATATAAAATACAGTGGTCTTACTATCAGTGAAACATACACACAAAACATGTCTAAAAATCAGTTATTATTGAAAGGGACAAAATGACACCAAGTTAGGAAAAATTGTGTGTGACCTATCCCTTCAAAATGCTTACATAATAAAATTATAACCAAAATGTTGAGATTTAAAATAAAACAGATCTAAATTTTGATTGCTGTTGTCATTATTCTTGAGATGGTAGAAATCATTAAATTTCCCACCTACACAGATACAACTTGTCAGAAGACAAAACTAAGCTGTAAATGTGGTATCACTGCATTTGTTTGAGGTTTAATTTTAGCTCAAATAGCTTGAAGTGCATTTTTGAATCAGATGACATCAAGAACTGTAAATGTCAACTATCTGTACATATTTTTTTTTACAAGTATTCAAGTTTCTGAAGCGGACAAAATCAAATACATTTCTTCCATAATCTAGGATTATTTTCTTTCTCTCAGTTTTTCTGCTATGTAGCCTCTTTCCTTCATTGCATACTTACACTAGATTGTAAAATTTCTAAAGAGGTATCGAGGAACCTTGAGTCTAGCAGGACTTTTTTTTCTTCTTATCAGATAGTAATGGTTTACTATTATGCATAAGCCACAGAAAGGTAATACATTAACCAAACAAATTGTCTTGGCAGTTAATTTTCTGTTTACAAGAGCTCACAAGTTTTGTAAATATATTTTACCCTTTGGCAAAGGAAGAGACATCAGATTTTTTGAACACGTGTAAACAAATTAGTATAAAGAGGACATAAGTTTTATTTATAAAATAGCAAAAGATAAATACTGTCTATTTAGATTAGTTTTAATACTTTAGAAAATATTTTTATTGTAGAATATTTATCAACAAAGTGGCCTACTGTATGACATGATTAGGCTTACTGTAATGCCATAGTAAATAGCATGTTATGTAATGTTTTTTAATGTATTATAAAACATAAATTGACCAAAGAAAATGTAATTCATATTTTAAAAGGCCCCATAGCTATCAAGACACGTTTCATGTATGGCGACTTTTGAGTTAATTTTTATTAATGCAAGGTCAAAAGTGGCATTATATCTACTAAAACGTTTTCAAGGGTTAAATCTTTTTAACATCATTATCTCCCACATTTTTTTTTGAACAGACCAATTATTTATAAACACAAAGCACAAACAACTAAAATGAAAAAAGTTACGCAAGTTATTGGTCTAAAATATTTACTTCAGCTTCACCCAAGAGTAAAAGTGGACTGTTTTTATATTTTTGTCAATCAGATTAAAGACTGCTGATTTGGAGCAGTAAAACTATAAGGTGAAAGCACGTGCAGATACTTAAGTATTGGTTAAGCTAAGCAAACTAGATTAGCAGTTTCTAGCTCAAGTTTTCAAAAGAATTATATGGGTCGACAGTTATTGTTCATTATTCTTTGCCAACTTTTAAACAAAAATTTGCAAACTTTTATGAAATTCCCCTAATTAAAGTGAGTTTAGCATTACATGATATTCGTTTAAGCAATTAGCATAAATAATGATGCTTGATATGGCTGTACCAAGTGCATCCGAGTGATGACAAGAAACTGTTAATCTAGTTTCCATGGTGTTACTATAAAGGAAGTTATTAACATTGTTTTAGAGAGGAAAACTAACACCATATTTTAAAGAATCTGGTTGGTTCTGTAAAAGTATAGGTCTGTTCCAAATAACAGGGTTGCAATCCTAAAGCTAATGTTGGTTACTATCAAGTGGCACTTTTTCTTACTTACTGTGGTTTGTTGGTGTATATTGACAAAAAGTCATGATATTTTATTAAAAAACACCTTAGCTGTGAAAAAAAAAGGTGCAGCCATTAAATGTGCAACTTAAAGAAATGAAATCAAGAATTAGGAGCCAAACTGTTAGTTACACTTAAAGCATTGATAAGAATTTTACAGCAAATATTCATTCATTCATTGGTCAGCTTGGCCATGTATTTTGTTTTACCCACCATCCTGCATCAAGTTGAACAAAAAAATGTGGCCTGGCTAATTAATGAATGAATATTTGCTCTAAATATCGTATCAATGCTATAAGTGTAGCTTAGAATTTGGCCACCAATTTTGATTTAATTTTTTTAAGTTGCACACTTAATCCTTTTTTGGTGACACCATTTTTCTACACTTGTTTTTGATTAGATTAACTATAATGAAAATGCAACTTACTTCAGCCTTTCTTGGTACTCTGTTTCTTTTCTTTTCTTGTAATCTACACTGAAAGCCAAAAAATGAATACAAAGTTCCACTTTATCCAAAGAACTCAGTATCAAATACTCTACAATAATGACATCTCTAAATACTGTAACTAAAACTGTCTGAAATAAAATACAGTACGAATACTATGAATAACTGAAATAATTTTTTCATAAACCATAAATCCTAAATATAAATTAAACAAATATTTTAACTTATTTCTTAGGTAAAAAGCATAAAATATTTTAACTGAACAAAAAAAGCTTAGTAATAATGCACTTGCATAATTTTACCAAAGTGAACTTTCTACCACAAGTTTTATATGTTATTTCTATTTTGTGTGCTATACACGTGCAACTTTATATACACTAACTTTATTTCAAATTAAGACCACATAACTATCATATAAGAGAAAAAAAAAAAATTTACAAATTGAAAAAAACATTTACTTTAGTTTATTTCTAACTAGTATGGACTCTTTATACAAAATCAGTTAAAACTTGGTCATTGGTGTAGTTCAAGTTCCTATACATAATAAAAAGTGTTCTCTCTCTTTAGATTTCAATTAGAACAGCCTTATGTTTTTAAGTTTGATTTATAATTCAGAACAGGTAACAGGCCTAGACTTAATATTGAACTTTTATCTTAATGTTTGTAGTTATGCATAAAGCTACACAATGGGCTATCTGTGCTCTGCCCACGACGGATACTGATACCCGGTTTCTAGTGTTGTAAGTCTGTAGACATACCGCTGTGCCACTGGGGGGCCTTTTATATTAAACCTGTAACTTTAACAACACTTACTTCATTTGTCTAAGTAATGAAATGTTCTTAAACTTTATATCCTTAGCTGCTACAAATTTTTCAGCATCTTCTTTTCTATCAAATGTTGCAAAAACAGAACCCTAAGAGAGAATAAGAAAAATGTATATAAAGTTTAGGATCTCAGTAACAATGAGCCAAAATGAAATTGAAAATACAAATAATATGTGAAAATTAAGTGTTCATAATCAAACAAGTAAACAATATCTGTAAATGATTCAACATATGAGATAAGAGTAACTATGAATTTACTGAAAAAAACCCATTAATTCCAGTTTTTAAATCTATTGATTCAATTATTTATTAACTGCTTTTGGACAATTCAGTTCTTTTGTATTCTTAACTTTCTTTTGCATTATTTTTTTTTACTTTAGTAACAAAACAACAAAGAAAAAAACATGGGCTATCCATAACTTAGAAATACTTAATAAACTCTACCAAATGTTGTTTTAGTTTGTCAGTTGAAATATTTCCCTGCCCAATCAATTGACATAGCATACAGGTCACCAATTATTTATGACATACTTCTTTTCATTAATTGTCCATTGTTTTATAAATTTTTTTTAAATTCACAAATCAATCACCTCTCCTTTTCCAAGCTATTTATCCAACCATTTTAAATTATCTCTCCACTCACATGTTTATTAATTGACTTTCTGGGTAGCCTCTTAACCATTTTGTCAATCCACAAATCTATATGCTGAATTTAAACACCTTTTAATGTGATTACTTACTCGGAATGATGGTGAATTTGGAAACCTTCTCATAACAACATTTTCCACTTTACCGTAAGACTCAAAAAACTCCAAAATGTCATCTAAACGTGTGTTTCTAGGAAATCCTTTCTAAAAACAAACAAACAACAACAATTATTAAGATAAAGCTTATTAGGACTTATACTATAGGAAATCATTATTTCTTTTATGACTCTAGAAAAAAAAAATGACCATTATAAAATGCACCAGTAAATTATGATAATTTGTGAGATAAACAAGTTACAAAACTTTCCATTTCTGAAAGCTTAAAATACTGCTGTAATTAATGAAGTACAATTTAAAAGTTTCTTGTTCACATTTTGAAATTCTGTCAAATTATTATGAATGCTGAACATCACTGACCTTTATAGAAATAAGTTATAATAATATCTACACTGATAAAAATAATGTTTTGTCTTTCAAACTGGGTGATGTAAATCAACAAGTTTGAATATATGTTTTGCAGTTTAAATAGAGAGAAAAAAATAAAGCCTGTAAATAAACACAACAAGTTACAAATGGTAATATCTCTACTCTACAGAAAAAAAAAGTATTCAAAATGATAAAAGAAAAACACAAATGTTATATAGTACTTACTGCATAAGCTGTTCTGCTCATCATTTCATCCTGATAGGATTTAGTTTTCTCTGGAAGAGGTTTTGATGGATCTCTTCTAATTTTATTTCCATCCTCACTGATCTATTGTTAAAAATTAATGTTTAATACTGAAATATATTTTACATTTCCATAACAACAAAATATGTTAGAGGTAAGTAATTTAGCTTATGTTCAGAGTAGATCAGAAAGGAAACCCAACAACCCAACTGCTTTTAGAAAGTGGACTTCCCTGATGAAGGAAAATGACTCATTTTGTTCTTGATCCTGTATGCTTTTGAATACTATGAGTAGATCAGATCACATTAATGCTTTAGAGATACTCTTCAATAAAGAATTGAATGATACCTTAAAGACAAAGCTAATTTGTGAAATTCTATTAGTTAACTTGAATATATATATTTAGATTTTGTATGCTATTTTCTGAGAAAATTATTTTTGCAGGAACAATCCCATTCTACGCTCCCACCTAGCAAACATAATGAGAAACACTTTACATATCAACACAACCAAATGTAATCAATAGGCTTGTGAATGCTCAAACATCTAAAGGGTAAAACATTGACAAATCCAGGCAATTTTCTCCCTTAAACACAAAATGATTAGTGTAAATATATTGTCATTGTCATAAAACCTTGCCAACTGAATGATCCAGATCCCAGTCATCACTTAACAAACAAGGTGAGAAACATGATCAAAAATAAAGCAAGCAATGGCTTTTGACAAATTTTAAACTACCACTGTCATTCAAAGCAGTACCACCGATGAACTGGACAAATGGTTCATGTGCTACAGCTCAAAATACTGGAAGAGGGTAACCCCAAGTCCCCAGTTATAGTAGTACTTTTACAGATCTGCATTGCTGGGAACTTTTGACAGTTTGTTTATAAATGATCAACAGTTAATTTGAGATTAAACATATAAAGTTTTTAATATACATACCCCTACACAAAATCATTTGAGGATAACTGGAATTCTCAAAATTTTAAGTATGACAAACGTAGAGTTGATATGACTAATAATGCTTCTTTCTGACCACTTCCACCATTCACCACTGTCATATGAGTCACCTCCTTGTATAAAAACGTGAATGGATCTAGTTCCAAATTTTCTTGAAATAAGTATACACCTACCCTGTAGTAACTGGATAGGTGTCATGACAGATCTATAAAAAGAATGTTGATTCACATGTTGTTGGTCCAATGGGCATGCACATTACATCATTGCATGTGGGCTGTTTGTGCCTTTTCGTAAGCAGAATATAACTCGAAGATTTGGCATAGAAGCCGATTTCAAAATTATTTATAACCAGCTGTACATTGAATAAACACCCAATTGTGAATGTAAACATCTGACTCAGTCTTGAATACATACACTATGACTTCAGTTAACTCAAATAAACAGATAGCAATTGTCTCTTTTTTTTTGGATGATGGTCTCCCTTATCCACCTGGCAGAGCAAACTATATCATTTGTCTGGATGCAGTTCCATTTTCTACTAATGACACTTTGAGACATCTACTGCAAATTCCAAAGAGGCTGGTTTGATATCACTAAATCAGTAAAATTATCCTATTCTTTGAGGTCTTGCTGTAGTTCATGAACAATTTGAAGCACTAATTTTGTATAACTTCACAAAAAAATTACTGAATGAAATGGCTTGAAAACTTGCAATGAACTTTTTACATTTTACATAGCTTCAGTATATCAAACTCTTATATTTTATATGTAATATTTGTATAAATTAATTACTTTGAAATTTTAAAATATTTCATTGTGAAATGTTTTTGAGAAGCAATTAAAAATTCTTACCTTTGTTTTACATTTTTTGTTTTACTACATTCTTTTAAACTTTCCTATAAAGCTTTATTTTATAAAACAGCAAATACCACATCCAATAAAAGAAACTTTTACAATATCAGGTTTCTTTGAGATGTATACAAGTAATATATTTTATATTAATTATATTTTTCTTTACATTTCTTTTCAGTCAGTGAGTTTCTATGCCCATTCAAGTAGTTACTTAATTCGATAAAGCATAAAATGATAAAAGCTAACTTTGAAAAAAAAAAAAATATCACAACTATAATAGTGGTAGAAGTTGTTTGTAAAAGATTCTTCTGCTAGTAACATAACACAAAGCTAAGCTTTAATTACATTGTTCTGATCTCTATACAAGTATCTACTCATCTGGAAGTTTTAATGGCTTATACAGTTGAAAACAACAGAAAAAAAAGCTTTCACCAAATGTTTAGATCACTAGCCTACGACTTTTCAAAGCTGAGGTATGAGCAAGTGCTTCACACCATGACAACCAAGGTTAAGACATAGTGATTGGCTAATATCATTAAAATTGCAGTTGTATTTAAGTTACAAGGTCGAATTAGCACTATTTTTGTAAAATTTAGGGACCAATAAGTGCCGTAGTATGGTCAAAAAAAGTATAGAAATTCACAAAAAATACTAATGTTTCTATTTGGAGTTATATTGAAAACAGCCTAAAACAAAAACTTGCATTTTTTAAAAATTTCATGTATAAATTAAAATAAATCTTTTTTACTGAACAAACTTCAAAGTTGAAGTTTTTTTTTTTTGGATGGGTGGAGAAATGACTACAAGTTCATATTACAATTTTACCATCAGGGTTGGATCCCCAACAACCCATCAGGAGAATGATAGAAATAAAATGTGGTTCATTTCAGGAACATAACATTTCATTACATAACAGTGAAGACTGATATTATAAAAATGATTTTGTCTTGTCATAACTGTATTATCAAAATCATAAAAGCCAAGTGTCAGTCAATGGGTCCGTCACACTCGATTTCTCCAAATTTTGTGAGTTACACGAGTCCAATTCCACTTTTTCTCCTATAATACTTCCTCCTTTCATCGCCTGTTCCCATTTTAGTTGAATTCAATCACTAACATAGGTGTAAGTAGCTCCTAAATATCCACACTTTTTCTGCTATGTGAAAAAGCCTGTGAAGGTGGGAGTTTTTATACTAAGGATTCAATTAGCACTGAGTGAAATTAATTTGGTGTTTGTTATGAAGAGAAGTTTTTGAATGACAATCAAATATTTACAAGAAATGTGGTTTTGAGAGAACTATTGAAATAATGTAATAGATGTGATTAGAAAATAACTGTGATCAAAGAATGCTTGGAGAGATTGCTCATGACAGGCTTTGGTATATATATATATCATATTGTCCTGTTCACAGATCTGTGATGATTGTGCTAATATCTGTATTGACACGAACATTCAAAATATTTCCATAAATGTCTTTGATATTCTTTGTGTCTACAGAGGCATTGTTTCCCTTCTTGTATTCAAACAGCATTACATGATGAATGTGTGCCTCGTCGTGTGCCATCAAAATAAGGGATTAGAGTAAACTAAACTTTACATGTTATATTGGCTACACTAACATGATGTTTAGGTGGTTTGTTTAACTATTATACATGATGTACGTTTTTTTTTGGGGGGGGGGGTAAAGGTAAGAGTTCCAAAACGTGATATTAATTTTTTAACGACCTAATATTTAATAGTTTAGCATGAAGGGTCCTGGGAAAGAGATAAACCTCGTTGTCAAACCTCAAAGCATTGGTCAATCAGCAATAAGTTGTTGATTGGTATTCAAGTGATGACCTCCAACATTGTTGGGGACTACACAAAGTCAGCACATTTTGTTAGATGAGTTGGTATATCGGCAGAAACTGGTGAAAATAAAAATTTCCCAGGTCATAATGTCAAAAATGATATATCAGTCAGAACCAATTTCAGATGGTCAGTCAGGTTACTGCAAACAGAAATATTTTTAAGCCTGGCCCAATTGTTCATAAAATTGCATTTAATTACAGCATTACCCACTGTTTCCAAAATTTATGTGATAGATTATCAAAAAAACGTAGGATTAACTATTATTATTCACAACATGAATAACAAAACATCAAGTGATCTGTTACTCTTATGACAATTTTCAGGCAAGCTACAGTAATTACAGGCCAAACATTTTAAGCCCAAATGAACAATTTTAAACAACACTGTACTCAAAATATTAATTTAAGTAACTTGACTTATAACACAAAGAAATCAAATTTTTAATCATACCTGGAGTAGTTGTGTTGGGGATTTTTCAAGGGCCTTTCTGATAACCTCAAAATCAGTAGATAAAATCTATACAAATGAAGAGAATTTAATTTTAAGAAACTGATTTCAAAAACACTCAAAACTTTATAAAATATATTTCATAATATACTTAACAGATCTACAGTACTAGAAAGATAACTTTCTTATGCTTTCAATATTTTTGAACTTGCTTTCAACTTTAAATCCAGTTTCATAAGTTATCCACACCCACATAATGACATTTAACTTTTAGATATCATAAGCAGTGATTCACTGAAACATAAAAAAAAAACAAAAAAAACTAAAGGTACGACTTTGTTGGAACTACAAATAATCAGATTTTTAAATAAACCTGTCTTGAATTGCTAAGAAAATTACTTAAAACTAGCTATGACTCCGTGATAATAGTTTTAACTGATATGGCTCATTTCATGAATTACAGAAAAACAAACTATTTAATATTCAAGATTTGTTTTGTTGCTTATTCACATTACAATAATTTTCATGATGGTTGTTTTCTTTACTCTGTGTTTAAACACCACGTCTCTTGTACAAGATATTAGAAGGCTGTAACAAAGTGTACCAAAACTCTTGAAGTTTTCAACATCATAAACTGAGCTGTACACAGTTTATTTATACATTTATTAAATTTATTCCAGTCATAAAGGTTCCAGCAAAGTGAATAGTTCAGTACAAGAGTTAACGACTTCATTTATCAAACTGATTCACATTTGTGTAATTCTGATTTTAAATATCGTGTAACCCTACAGAATTCACTTGATTATATAAACAACGAGTTTTAAACACTACAGGACAGGCATTAACTTATCGGCTTTGCAATAACAAAGACCAGGTGAGCAAATTTAGTGGCAACAGAAATTCAACCAGAGACCCTCAAATCACAAGGCACCACACCCAATGATGTAGCTTTTTGCTTAACAACAAACAAACATAATAAAAATATTTAGATTATCTGGGTAGTGGGAATAACAAAAAAATTTTAAGTAATCAGAAAGCCTAATTTTGATTAGTTAATTATTTTCATGAAAACCAATTTAATCATAATTTCAACTTAACAGTTGTTGAATTATCAAAAACAGTAATAATCAACATTAATTTCAATTAGTTGATTATTTTCATGATATCAATTGATTAATCATAATTCTGATTAATAGACTATTTTATGAGACACTAATCAATGTAATCATTGCTCATACATAATCAATTCATCAATTAATTCACCAAGCTATAACTGACAGAAATTAAAAAACAAATTTTTAACTCTACAAAAACATCAAAGATTATAAAATTACAAGTATATGAAAAAAAGTATCAAAAATTACCTTTAACCTATTGAACTTGACCATGGTTTCAAGAGGAATCCCTAGATACAATTAAGGAAAACAAATATACACAGAACGAACCAATGTGTAGATATGATAAAATGTATGCTTTTACATACATGTATATAGTTGTTTTATAATTGTAATTTGTGTATGACATATCATCACAAAATAACTTTTCTATTATACCTTCCTAAATCCACAATATCAATATAAAATATAGGATCAAAACTCCTATAGTACTTCACATATGTTTGTATAAAAGGTGTACTGGAAACAAAATTCATACACTTTCATTTTCTATCAAATAAAATAAATAGTTATTTAATACATCATCTCAATGGAAATTCCTAATGGCAAATAGTCATTTATTTGTACAAACTGTATCTTGTAAAATGAGTGGAAATAACTCTGCATTAATATATTAAGTGAATGAAGTATTTAGTTGAAGAACTTTGAAATTAAACTTTGGTCTGGAATATATACTCATAGTTAAGCAGTTTTAAATATGAAATGTCATACAAGGATATGCCCAACGGATTCAATTTTCAGTGTTCTTTCTTTTGATTAAAGTGTGTGATGTTGAAAATAAAAATGTTTCTTTTCACCTGAAATACTTGAACTTTTATGGTTAAAATAAACAATTCTGTTCAATGTTAAGCAATATTCATAAGCATTTTCAACATTCAGTTAATGCCAGGTCTGCTTAATGAAAAGATGAAATATGTACAGATGTTTGTTTCTTAAATTAATATGCTGTAAGCACCAAATGGAAATGCTAAGTTTAATTGATGCTGAAAGCAGCCTAAAGCACAGCTATATTAAAATATAAAAGTTAGGAAGAAAGCTGTGAAACTTGTGATCATACAATGTTGCATGATCTATTAATCTATAAGAATGTAAACAACCACTATCACATTAAACATGCATACATAAATTCAGTATTTCTTATAAACGGTGAGGAGAATAACAGTAAACACACAAACATTCTGCATACAATAATAATTGAAGTGACAAAAAGATAGATGTGACAAATAATTTAACATAGGTAAAACACTACAGTAGTATCTTAAGCACCCTGGTGGTCTAAAAAAAAACTAAATAAAACACACGGATAAGAAATTATTTTAAGTCGTAGCAGAAACAGCAATAAAGATGAGTAGGTTTATCTCTGTTTTCAGATTGGAGAGAAATTTTATCTCATCAATTTACAACTTACATATATCCTATTTTGTACAGATTATAGTGATTATGTTACAAAAGCAAACATGTAGAAAGCATGGCATGTTATTAAGGAATCAGTTGTTAAGATAATTTAGTTACAGAACAAGGAACTTGCAAGCTTGCAAGTTAACTGAAGCTAACACAATATAAAAACTTAAAGCATGAAGTTGAAACTGATGTAAGCACAAAAGAACTGAAACTGATAATGAGGAACTCTGCTGTGTTGGAGGTAAAAGCAGACTATGTGTAAAAAGTCAAAAAATACGAAACCCTATAAGACAAGAGCATTCAAAAGGTAGACCTTTTTTGTCAATGTAGAAGTTATAAAAATACTTTGAATTAAGAAAAAAAACTGTAAAAAATGGAAACTGAAACTATAAGCACACCTAAAAAATATGTTACAAAATATAAAATATAATGGACAGACAGAAAATTGAATATCAAGCAGCATTAAATGCATATTTAATCAAAGATGTATGAAAAGTGAGAGTTCTAGGTCATACATAGCATATTTACCCGAGAATTGACAAAAATGTAATGCTGAGATTTTCTTTGACAAGTATTCAAAATTAATTAGGACACAAGAATGGCAAATAATGTAGTAGAAAATAAAACTGTTAGCATATCACCTACAGAAAAATTTACTAATAAAGTGTCAAGATTGCAAGAAACAGGTTATTACAATGAAGTTTGTGGAAGTATTAAAACAACAAACAAAAATAGAGGAACAACTTTGATTTGTTTTATTTACTTGTTTATTTATTAAAAATTTTAATCATAAGTAAAGTAGAGCATATTATTAAAAGAACAATTCCTCACACAAATGGAAACCCACACGAAACCAGCCAAGCACCTGCCTAAACTTGAAAATTTTCAGCTTTAAGAATAAAAGTATTCCCTTTAGGTCCTAGCACTTTCATCTCAAAAATATTGTGTTCATTTACATTATGACATGTGGCTAGAATAACTCCATGCAGCTGTCAAAATGTGACTGATCAGCTCAATGACTAAATACGTCCAACAGTGTTTCATCCAAGTTTTATAGCTCATTTCAGGATAAATGACTTGATGTATCTAATAAATATGTTGATACATGAAAAAAAGGGTGATCTGCTGATTTTGTTTTTGAAGTTGGATGGCAAACAATAAAGATGGATTTCAGTGGATTCTATTTCAAATTTATCTCACAAATTGCTGTCTTCACATAGGCATGATGGAGGCTGATATAACTATACGGCACAGCACATGTGCAATGGCATTATCCATGGAGAGCAGCCAGTGAGGGAGCCACATTGTAATTATATGTCAGATCCTTTGTTTACAAAACATCACCCCCACACCCACCAGTAATTTTAAACCAATGACCCAGATAATGAAAAAAAAACTCTGAAATCCACAAATCTATGGAAAAATGACATTCCAGAATAAGTAAGTAACAAAAAGAAAGGGAAAGAGAAAAAGAGAGACTAAAGGATTCAGCAAAAAAGAAAATATTTCCAATCTGAACAATACTACTACTGGGATCAAAATGGGTACATGTTTTTCCAAAGAATACTTACCAATTTATCAAGCTAGGTTTTCTTTTTTTGTTACAGTGAAAACTATCCTTTTCTCAAAAGTCCCATTTCTAACATATTTTTAAAACAATTCATACATACATGGTTTTGGTTGGTTGAAAAGAAATTTAGGATTTTTTTCTTTTATAAGTCATTTTCACAAAAAAATTATACCACCTTCAAATAATAGCTTTAACAGTTGTTATAGGTGAATTGGGAGGCCTGTAAATTTAATTTCTCTAATCATCTAATTCATTTAAGTTTGTTGAAAACCTGAAATATGAACAAACACTTCATATAAATGTTCAAATACACATGATTAATAGTCAAGAAATACATACTAATAGAAAATATGTAACACGTGCTCCAGAAATACAAATAATCTATACTTTAGAAGAACGTTTTTGCTAATCAGTACTTAAAATGTCTGTCAAAGTTGTAATTAGCATTAATCCCAATGAGAGTGAAATCTAGATTAAATGAAATTAAATCACACAAATTGTTTTTTCTTGAAAACATTTTCTCAAACTTGAAGGATACAACCATCATCTTGTTTGATCTGCTCTTGAAGGAAACGATCTTTCACAAGGTTGAAGTCTCCAAAATAATACTGAAAATAGTTTTAATAGTAATTCCTCTTTATGATATTACATAAAATAGTTATGCAGAGGTTTGCAAACTTTAAATACTTAAAATAAAAATGTTATTTGTTTTTAATAAACACTGATCAGTAGTATTTACACGTTGTACAAAAAAATAATGTTACGTGTAATAACAATTGCCCATAAACTAATGACTGAGAGAAGTATTAGAAATATCATTATTTTAGTACTTTCTTTGAAAACTTATCCAAACACTGGTGCTTAACAAATTACAAACAAAAAATAATAATTAAATGTGATGTGCTTTTTAACGAAACAATAATCTAAATGCAATGTAAGATCAAATTCAAAATACGAACTTACAATTATCATAAAAGATGGGCCAGTTAAACCGTTCTGGTTTCATGTCAGTTTTTTTTGTTTGGTAATCACTAACATTTTAAAATCCTTAGATCCATTATTAGTCGTCCTTAAAGTATTATAGTCACAAAATTCTATTTGAACCAGCTTTTAGGCAAGATGTGAATGGCTCTGCTAGACGTATTTTGACGGAGCTGCTGGTAGATGCTCTTCTTAATCCTCCAAAAAGTGGATCAAGCATATTCCTTTGCACAGCAAAAATAATTAACATTATAAGAGCTGCTTCAATATTGTGAGATAATGAATGCAAATCTGAAGATAACATTAAATCAAAATAGCCTGGCAAATCTTTCCACAAAGCTGGGAACAATATTTTTTTCTTTGCTCATTTTGAGTCTTCTTTAGAGTATACTAAAATAATTTCTGAACAATGGATACAAAATCACACAAACTGACAAGAAGGTTTAATTGTTCAATAAACAAAAAACTGTATTAATTAAATACACATTGGTAACACAAAAATAACTGCACTTGAATAAGCCATGAGAACACATCTGTACATTAATAAGTGTAAAGTAGTTTAATGTGACCAAGTCCTATTACATCTTAGTTATGATAACGTAGCATTTTTGTGACTCAAGCACTTTCTTAATACAGTAGCTTTTATTTGATTATGTCTGATTAGCCAAGTAATAAATAACAAACTTACCTCGACTTGTCTTATAATTTTTGACTCTAACTCTGTAGGATTTTTCTGTGCTTCAGTATCTTTAACATCTTCTTCTACATTCTTAGAAACAAAAATCCAAAGATTTAGTATTTTATGGCTAAGTTGTAGTTAAAAACCACAAATTATAGCAGAATCAAAGTATATACACCCACTTTTTTTGCATTACTTATCAAACATAATACCTGTTATTATTTACATGATTAAATCAAATCAATATTTTAAAGACAAAAACACACCTTATTTTCTTCTGGATTATTTGAATTTTCCTGAGAGGAACTTTCACCTTGCACCTCACTGGTTTTTGACTCTTCTTCTATTCCCATTTTTTTTAAAACCTGTTAAAAGAATAATTAAATATTGAGGAGATATGTAATAAAGTGCAATAGGAAATTTACAAAAGTATCATAGTGAACGGTAAGTGACAAAGATGAAGATGTATTCCTATGGTTTACTTAGAGGGTTAGACTTAAAAAGACAGGTTTACCAGGTGATCTATTTGCTTTGCATATAGTATACCTCAAAGCTGAAAAATTATAGAACTACAACTTGACATTCATAGATAGAATTAAAAATTGTATTTGCTTTTAAGAATGGTCATTTTCTCCTTCTGTTACACAAAACTTAAAAACTGCTCATACATTTTACTTTTCTGTAGCAGTTATTGCTACATGACTCAAGTTATTTCCATCCATAAACCGGTATGATTATAATTCTGTAATAACTTTACAGTTTAGACCTTAGGTTAAATTCTGCAAACCTTTTCCAATATCATCACCCCGATAAGTTTTTCACAACAGCTCATTCACCCCAATTAAAAAAAAGGGCAAAGAGTACTAAATTATGATGTAAAAGTCTTTATTATGACTTAAATATACATCAAACTATAAGTAGAATGAAATGCAACATAAAGTAAACAAAAATAAAATGTACTTATCAAACTATAACTAGAATAAATAAAAATAACTAATGACTTTTTTTTCTCTTGAATTTGTTGTATAATTGATCATACTAATTCACCTTATCATTCTCATTCAGCCCGATTCTAATCTAATTAACACCTGGGTGAATCATTCACCCAGTTGAGAAGCACTGCTCTAGGATATACAGCTCATCAATTAGATTGAAACAGAAATCACCTCAACCTTATTTGTGATTTTAAGCATATAGGGAAGTAGGAGATGGATAATTATGTTGTTGTTTAAAGGATTATGTATCTTGGTTATAAAATCTA